GGGAGGAGTGGGGTGGTGATCGGCAGACAGTGAGGGACATGTTTGAGTCCCTGACCCCTGTCCAGGGACGTGATCAGAAATCAAGGCCGGGGCCACCAGGGTTAGTGTCCACTCGGCCCATCAAAGCCGATCCTGTCCAGGAAAAGTGGCCGGGCTGCATAGGGAGCCAGACACCCCGAGGCCTCCCCGGCACCGGGACAGTCCTGTGTGGACATGGCACCTGGGACTCCGGCTCCCTGTGCTGCCCTGGGTCCTCACTCGCGTCTCAGGGGAGGACGGGGCAGGCAGGACAGACACCTGAGGAGGATGAAGGCTGGGGGTCAGGGTGGTGGGGGGCGGGGGTCACAGTGGGGAGGACGCTGCTGGCCCTTAGGACCCACCCCAGACAGACTCACGTGGCCCTGGCACCAGCCACTTCCTGGGAACAGGGCAGGGAGGACCAAGGACTCGTTTCCTTTCTCTTCTCTTGGCAAGGTACCCTCTACCGTGCATAAGAAAAAAAAGAAACAAAAAAGTTTACTTTAAAAAAACAAGTGAAACCTCCTCTTGTGTGAGTTCATTCTGAGCACCTCGCGGGGGCGTCCCTAGGCCTGGCCCTTGGGGTGACTTCCTTGGGGCTGGCAGCCCACTGCCTCGAGGCTACTCTGCCCTTGGACTTGGCCTGCCTCCGCATCTTCCCCGTCTCTTCTGTTTCCTGTGTCTCACCGTGAAAACCCACCTTCCGCAGGGAGAGGCCTGTCCTGCCTGGCTCCCCGTTATGCCCGCCGGGGCCCAGGGCAGCGCCGGGCACACGGCGGAGCCTGCCCTGGCTAACCTGACCCTGGAGAAGAACGAGCAGAAACCGCCCCTGAAGCTCCATGCGGTTCAAGGCCTCGGCCTTGTCTTGACAGGTGCAGAAGCAAAACTGATCTTTACACCTGAACATCTCTCGCTTCCCCAGCTCTCAGAGGGAAGGTGGACCGGAGGAGGGGGTCTCTAATGTGAGGAGGCCGAAAGGGAAGTGGGGCTCGCTGAAGTCGGCCTTTGCTTATCTGGGGCCCCCTGCCCTTGACCGGGCTTCTCTGCAGGGACAGTGGGAAACCCGAACCCACGTGTTTACATGTCACCCGGAATGCAGAGGCTCACGACAGAGATCACCCTGAGAGCCCAAGTACACACTCTGCCGGGAACGCCTGCTGTGCAGGGCCTGCCGGCTCCCGCCTGCAGGACGAGTCCTCCCCTCCTGCCTGGGGTCAGCAGGAGGCTCAGCCCACAGCGGAGGTGGGGGCCTGGAGGAGGGGCCCGCAGCTCGCTCCCTGGAGGGACGGGGGTCAGCTCACAACCCCGAGCAGGGGAGGGGACGGGGCAGATGAACTTCATCTCCCCTTCCTAAGGAACGGGCTTGCTCTTCTGAGAGGTCCCATCTCTCGCCTTCAGTAAGCTTCTTTCAGCACCGCCTGGGGCTGCGCCCGACAGACAGACAGACACACAGACACACACACAGACATAGACACACACACAAACACACAGACACAGACACACACACACAGACACACACACAGAGACACAGACACACACACAGACACATACACACAGACACACACACAGACACACATACACACACAGATATACACACAGACACACACAGACATACACACACACAGACACACACACAGACACAGACACACACACACAGACACACACACACACAGACACACACACAGACACACATACAGACACACAGACACACACAGAAATACACACAGACATACACAGACATACACACAGACACACACAGACAGACACACACACAGACACACATACAGACACACAGACACACACACAGACACACACGCAGACACACAGAGACACACACACAAACAGACACACATACACAGACACACACACACATACACACACAGACACACACATACAGATACACAGACACAGACACACATACAGAAACACACACAGACACAGACACACAGACACACACACATACAGACACAGAGACACACAGACACACACACACAGAGACACACACACACACACACACAGGCACACACACACATACAGACACACAGAGACACACACAGAGACACACACACAGACACACAGACACACGTACACACCCACAGACACACACCCACAGACATACACACAGACACACACACACATACAGACACACGTACACAGACACACACAGACACACACAGACACCCACACAGACACACACACACATACAGACACACGTACACACACACACACATACACACACAGACACACAGAGACATAGAGAGACACCCACACACATGGGCATTTCCTGGGGCCTGCACCCTGTCCCGGACATCCCATTCCAGAGGGACTGAGCCTGTGCCCTTCACACTGACCAGCCAGGAACGACCCCATCCACCGGGCAGTGGGGTGGCTGTCAGTGTGGCTCAGTGACCCCCACGACTGGACAGGTTGGAGGGCTTGCTTCCTGTGAGCTGCTTGCTGTATTACGACTCAGGACCCCTCACTGGATCTCCCCAGTCAGTCTCCTGAGGCTGGTGTGTGTAACATGGGCGGTGCAGCAGCGGGGGTGGGGGGTCCCTGACAGCAGGCCCTGGAGGCCTGAAGGGCCCGAGCACTCAGCGCTCGGAACTGTGACATGGTCACCTTGCTGGAAACATCGGCAACCAGCTGCCCTGAGCCCCGCTTCCGTCCAAGCTGCTTTGAGACCCACTCTGGGCTTACAGGGTCTGGGCCTTGGCTCTTCAGCGGCTTTGTGACTGCAGATCCTGCAAGTGAGGCTTCTGACCTGCCCCGTCCCCCGAGCCGTCCAGGCCCCTGCCCTGTCCACAGCTGCAGGTCTGAGTCATGGGAGCTCTCTGCTGAGGGGACAACTCAACCCCACACAGCCCGACTGGAGGGGGAGGACCAGCACGGTGCGTCCGGGGGGGCACGGCCCAGAGACACAGCCCCCGGCTTCAGCTGCTGTGAGACTCCCAAGCTGCCGCCGCCAACCGCTCAGGACCCTGAAGAGACCCCCCGGGCGGGCGAGCAAGGACGCGGGCCCGAGGCTGAGAGCCGCTGCCTGGGTGAGGGCTCTCGTGGGAACTCCAGGTGCCCAGCGGGCATCAAGCAGGCCTGAGGTTCCCCCACTCCCCTCCAGGACGCCCAGGCCAACCCCCCACAGGCAGCAGTGTGGGTGGGGGATGAGCCGACGGGACCACAGCCAATCAGAGGACGGCCACGGGACCGGCAACCTGCCGTTTTTAAAATATAACATTTATTGCTTTTAGATGGTTTGATACAGAACAGCGTTTCTTCTCATTTTGAATTTGGAAGTACTATACAACTGGATACAAAGAGGAACGAGAAGTACCAAAACCGAACTTGTGATTCTCTGTTCATGTGGCATAAACCAGTTTTGTACGTAACATGTAGCAGCAGTTTTTTAAGTTCCCTTTAGAAAAATATGAATTCTACACATTTATTATTGTTTCCTGTTTAATGCATGGGCTGAAATCACCAGGATCAACTTCCTTCTGGAGGAAAGAGAGGAACAGAGCATGGAAAGAACGGTGAAACTTTCTGAAACAAACAGGCATCCGACTGCCACACGGCTTCCCCCCGGCTTCCCCGGGGGGCTGGGGGTGGGGGGGAAACAGCCTCGGGCTTTTGTTTTCACAGCCGGGAGTTTCATGTAGTGATTGAATCTCAGCATCGTGTTCATAAATCAAAGAGAAAAAACAAAAGAGAGAAACTTGCACCTCAAAAAACTTTTCAGAAGATCCATATATATATATTTCTTTTTTTTTTGTAAAAGCCCTGAGAGAAGGAGAAAAAGAATCAAACAAAATGTATAGGAACAAATTAGCTGGACATGCAAACTAATCTATGATTCACCCAGAGTTTAAACAAATCACAAATTTCACAGTTTAATATTGGAGGAGGGGACAGAACAACAAACAAATGATACACCTCTCAACCTCACTAATAAAATGTGGCAAGACCTTATCGACTACGAGGGTACAGATGAAGGCTAAATAAAGCTTTAAATCAATAGTGATTATTGCGAGCGGCAGCCTTGGCCGCGGTGCCGGGCTGGTTCCGGCTACATCTCACCCCAGCGCAGAGTTAACTCGTGGCTTCTCCCCACAACGTTCCAAGTTTTAGTGTGGAGAGCTGCAAAGGAAAACAAAACACCCAAATAATAATAATAACAACGAAAATAACAACAATCGTCATAAAGAATTAAGGGGTGAATGCACTGGTTTTAGGTAAGCACACCACACTTGGTGTGGAGTTGACATGGGGTCGGGGTGGGGGGGGGTCATTGGTTCCGATTCGTCTTCACCTAAAGTAAAAGCTCATTTTGAAACTGGTTCACACATCCCTAATACAGTTAAAAATCTTAATATACCTCAACCTTTCTCCTTTCACATGCAAAGATACCGCTTTTTCATCATGTCAAGAACACGCAGCTTCCTTTGAAGCCTGGGCAGTTGGATTTTGGCCACCAGGAGTGGGTGAGGAAATGGAGGGGGGGTGGGGGGTTCCCTGTGGTGGGCACAGGTCTGAGGACAGAGGAGCCCTGGGTCCCGGGGGGCCTGAGGCACTGAGGCTGGGGGGTCCCGGGGGGTCCTGGCTAGAGGGCCGGCCGCTGAGCACTGCCCAGCTACAGTAGGGTCAGTTTCCAGTCGCTGCTGGCAGCTACAGTGAGGGGGTCTATTGCCTGCATACGATGCTCACGGAAAGAAAATCCACCTCTGCGCGCCCAGGGGCTCGGGCGCCTCAGAAACTAGAGACGTGTTTATCTTCAAGCACCAACCCCAGATTACAGGAAGGTAAACATATACCTATTCTTCCTCTTCCATCTCGCATGTGCAGTTTTGTTACCAGTAGTAGAATTCCCTCGCTCTGCAAAGGATGGGGCGCGCAGGCGGGCGAGGCCTGGGCTGGGTTTGGCAGGAAGACCTGGCAAGCGACAGGTCCTGCCGCCCGGCTTCCCTGGAGGCCCCGGTGCCCACCGCACCTCCTCTCCCATCCCCGCTGCCCCCCGGCCCCCCTGGGGCGGGTGGAGAACTGCGGGGCCCCTGCTGGGTGCTGCAGTCACAGAAGAGAGGCGTGTCTAAGTACAGTAGAAGAGCTGCCGCCCCACGGGGCCTGGCAGAGGCTGCGGGCGGACGCTCACACGGGGGGCCCGGGCGGGGGCGGCCCAGGTCTCCCAGGACAAATATTGCCCATTTGTTTCTGCTGACTGCAGAGACCAGCAAACTGATGAACTACAAATAATAATAATAATAATAATATTATTAATACATATACCAAAAAGGGTGGGGGGGGAGGAATCAGATATATGACATCTATGCATGTTTTCCGCCGGTTCAGTTGCCAGGGGGACTCTCCTCTGTCTGGAAACTGTAGCAGTAATGGCATGTCTAACGCTGAGAGAGTGGGAACGTGTACCAGGTCGAAGCTAGAATCTTTCCTGGTTTTGGCTTGAACCAAATTGGAAACCTTCATCAACCACATCCTGCAGTACACCGAGGACCAAATTACAGCTCCACCATGTAGCAAACAGAAAAAAAAAAAAAAAGTCTATTTGAGAAATGAGCATCTTATCCACATTTCCTCTGGGAATTTACATGAAATTCACATCACTTTCTTCCAGTTATTGGCCATAGGTATCCAAGGGCATGTTTGTTTGTTTGTTTTTCTTCTGTTTCCAGCTCACAGAACAAATGTGACTATCACAGATTCGCAAAAACAAGCTCACACACACCAAGACAGAAGGTAATGTTAATGCTTAAATGAAAAGGTCCTCTCCAAATAATTCATTAAAATATTTGCTTTGTTTTTCAAAAAGTCATTTTGGAAACAACACCCAGGACAACACCAGGGGCTGTAAGTAGTTAAGGCACTCGAATCGCTGGTGCGGCCCTTCCCCCGCGGTCTGTAAGACGATGGCACCTGGGGGGCAGCCACCCCCTCTCTCTCCAGCCCCCCAACAGCCGAGGGACACTGAGGGCACCTCAGGAAGCAGATTCAGGGCGCTTTGCTCTGCTGGCTCTCGTCTGCGTGCTGGGGGGCGGGCCGGGTCGTCATTCCAGGCCCAGGAGCGAGGCACTGTCGGCAGTGGGCAGGAGGGGGTGTGCGGGCCTGCGGCCTGGCAGCTCTAGCAGGTCCTGCAGGAGGCCTGAGGGGCTCTCCTGGCCGGGGTCGCCCTGGGGCGCCGGCTCCCGGGGGCTGCCAGCGGCAGCAGCCCTGGGCATGCTCCTGCTGGCCGCGGCCTGGCTAGCCCCTGCCGTCCGCTCCTCCCGGCGGCCGGCGTCCTTGGCGGCGAGGCTCTCCCTCCGGCTCCGTGTGAGCGCCATGTGGGCGCCGGCGTGCAGGCCCGCGTCCGCCTCACCCTCCGATGCAGGGTGGGCGCCGCTGTGGGCAGATTCGCTTTCGCTGTCCTCCTCAGCGCGCTCCTCCCGATCACTGTCCTTGCTGTGGTGCTTGGCGTGCCGGGCCTTCTGGTGGACCCGCTGGTGGCGCACCAGGCTGTGCTTCAAGGTGAAGGTCCGCTCGCAGGTCTGGCACTTGTAGGGCCTCTCTCCTGCGGAACCGAGAGGGATTCAGGGCTATGAGGCTGGCGGCCGGTGCACACTGCCAGCTCCGCCCAAGCGCAGCAAAGACCTGAGGGGTGGCATGGTGGGCCGGTCGAGCCCCCCACCCGCTCACAGGAGCTTCCTCTGTCCCAACCACAGCACAGGATGGGGAGCAGGGCCGCACAGAGCGTCTCCTCAGCCGTGGTCCAGACTGCTTTCTCACCCCCGATCCGGGACCCTTGGGCACACAGGTGCCGGACAGGGCCCCGAGGAAGGGCGTAGCGGTGGGCCCCAGGGCTGGCCCCACGCGGAGTCAGAGCTGCAGACGCCCTGCTCCTGGACTCGGAGCAGCTGAGGGAACCACCTGCCCAGAGCCCACGAACACCTCTGCTGGGAGCCCAGTGCAGGGCCACGGGGAGGGGAGGGAAGTGCAGACCAAGACGCCGGGGTGTCTTCCTGCTCGGTGGGGCGAGGTGTCCTGAGCACGTCTAGGCCTCCTTTCTACTCAAGCAGTCGCCCCTGCGGGGGGAGTTTGCAGCCTCAAGCCCAGAGGTGGTGGCTTCCAGGAGGAGCGAGAGACTGTGCCCGGGCAGTAAGCAGGTGCCCCATCAGCCCGGCGGCTGCATGGCCAACCCAGCACCTGCTGACTGATGGGTACACCTCGGTGCCTCCCTGCAGATACCTGGGCAACTAGAGCTGGCTGACCGGAACACCCAGGAGCGCCCCGCACAAGCCTGGGCAACGAGCGCCTGCCTCACTGCAGCTTCCTGGGCCACCCTGCAGCCCTTCCTGGCACCTGTATTCTTCTAGAAGCTTCTAGAAGACAAGGATAGCCACCACCCCCTTTCTGGAGACAGGGAGACTGAGGTGCAGAGGGCAAAAAGGTTGAGCAGAAGGCTCTAGAAAACGCTACTGCTGCAGCCCGTGGGTGCTAAGAGGACGAGCCTCCTGCGCGCCCTGTGTGCCCGGGGCCACAGCTGCCAGCTCCGTCCCTGCTCCCCGCCCCCCTGTCCCCCCGAGTCTGCCCCGGCCCTCACCTGTGTGCGACCTCATGTGCCGGGTCAGGTCCTGCAGGGACCAGAACCTCTTGCTACACACGCTGCACACCTTCTTCCTCTTATCCGCCTTGCTGGCTGCGCTCCTGGGCGCGTCTATCTTTGGCTTCTTGTCATCGTCACTCTTCTCCAGGGGTCTCTTCTCGTTGGGGCCCTCCCCGTCCCCGTCCCCGTCCGAGGGGCCCTCAGCCGCCTCGCTCTGCTTCTCCACCGGGGCCTCGGGCGTGGCCTCCGCCTCGGCAAGGGGCTCGGGGGTGGGGGGCTCAGGAACAGCCGGAGGCGGCCCCTCGTGCTCCCGTTGGGGCGCGCTCTCGTCGCTGGGCTCCTCGCGGTCGTGGGCCTTGCGGTGGCGGCTGAGGGTCCCGAGGAACTTGAAGCTCTTGCCGCACACGTGGCAGGCGTGCTTGTGGTCCTGAGCGCCCGCCTCACCCTCGGCCAGCTTGAAGCCCATAAGCGTGTTGGCGAGGTTGAGGTCCAGGCTCTTGTTGCTGACCGTGTCCTCCTCGGGGCCGTTGGCGGCCTCGGCCGGCTCCTCCTCCGCGCACTCCTCCTCTCCTTCCTCCTCCTCCGCGGGTTGCGCGTCCTCCTCCTCTGGCTGCACGTCCTCCTCCGCCGCCACCTGCTCCGCCGCCTTCTGCGCGCCCCCCGGGGGGTCCTCTCTGGTCGGGGCTGCGGCCGGGCTGGGCTCCGACGAGCCGTCCGGGGTCGGCGCGGACGGCTCCCGGGCGGTGAGGTCGAGCACTTCGCTACCTGCTGCTGAGGCCTCTGCGTCCGACTGGCTGTCTGCGAAGCAAGCACGGGGCAGGCTGAGACCTAGGTCCACAAACACACCCCTTCCGAGGGCTCGCCTGTGACCCACCCCTCGGGGTCTGTCTCCCAAACCCGAGCAAGGGTTTCTCTCACCCGAATCCTCGTCACCCCTTACATCCCCTGGGCGGATCTGAGGTTAATTTTAAAACGGAGCCTCCACGGGGGCGCACACACAGGCTGGGGTACCAGGCTGCCTGTGCCCGCGACCCCTGCCCTCCCCTCCACCCACTGGAACACACAGGGATGCTCCAGGTCCCCAGGGGCGGGCGCGTGGCTCAGGGCAGCCAGACAGAAAGGACCGCGAGAGGACAGCGGGCGCATTCCAGAGACTCGCAGCGCGAGCGAGGTTGAGGAAGCCGGGCGGGAGGAGTTATTTTCCAGAGCAGAGAGCCGTACACACATGCAGCATACAGAGGACCCCCACCCCGGGGCCTGGGGAGGGGCTCACAGGACGGGGCCCAGAGCAAGTGCTCCGTGTCTGCGGCCGCACGCTCCCGCCTGCCGGCTGGTCTCCGGGAGAGCTCGCGGGCAACAGGAGACACATGCACACCTGTCTGCACAGCTGCGGGCCCCCTGGCCGCTGTCGGGACCCGGGTAGGGAGCGGAGACGTCTCCTGTCTCTCGGCTGGTTCCTACCTGTCCACTCTCCACAGCAAAACCAGATGTGGACAGTCCGCTGGTTTCTGCCGGCCTTCTTAAGGGCTGGCCCCCTGGGAACACTGTCGACACCCAAGAGATGACGGTATTGATCAAAAGCACCATCTCCTCGCCACTCTGGTTGAACAAGGTCTTAGCCCCTTTTCCATCATGAGCTCTGACAGTGAAGCTAAAGCTTGCTGAGCCCAACTTTTAACTACAGGTGCAATGGCCGGGGTACCACTGAGGCAGCAGGCTGACGGAACCCACTCTTCTGTGGCACAGACACGGCTCACGCCGCCCTCACAAGGCCCGTTCTCAAGCCCGGGTTCACACACCAAACCTGGCCCCTCCCCTGCCATGTGCAGACTGGCACCACGCCGGCCTGAGGCACAGGCTTTGTGATCTCCCATCGGGGCAGCCCTAGGCCTGCGGGGAAGCAGAGGCATCGGCCCCACCAAGGCCCGCTACACGGCTCTCCCGCTTCCTTCTCTCTGTTGGTTTCACTCTGACTACGTTTTTGGCAGCCACTGTGCAACTATCTCAGAAGCTTTCAGAAGGAAGCAAGTAATTGTGGGGTGAGTATAAAATTTCTGACAATAAATGGCTTTTGGCAATTACCCAAAAGATTAAAGACTCCCGATACGTATATATATATATATATATATATACACACACACACACACACACACACACATATATATACACACCTCCACATCAACATCTAGGCCATTTTCCAAGGAAAAATCAGATGCTCATTTTCTTTAATTGCTTGGAGAGCACCTTTTAAATGGATTTTGGTGTAAACTTAAAAATAAAAAAGTACAGAATGCTTGGTTTCTTATTTATTGGCTCAGTGAGTAGTTACATTAAAACCATACATAAAAAGGGGTGGGGGGGAGGCCAAGGGGTGTATGTGTGTGTCTGGTTATTTATATCTGTCCCAGTACATTCTAGGCTGTTCCCCTAATCACTATTTTTCTTTTTCACCAAAAGAACATGGGTTTTTTAAGATTTCGACTGCAGTAGAATATATTTAAGATGATAAACTAAGTTAATTCTGAAACCAAACCCAAGTCAGTATACTCAGATCAGCGTTCTGACCGCGGGGCCTTCCTCAGGGGGGAGATGGAGCTCTCTGAAGGCAGCGGAGGCCAGCTCGCTTCCTCTGGGGAGCTTGGCCGCCTTCTGCCCGACGTCCACCAGGGGGCGTTTTCAGTAGGGCAGCCGGGCCCTTACAGTTGCAAGCCACTCCAAGAGTTTTCTTGGCAATCCTCGGGTGCAACGGACTTAACCTCTTGGGTCCTGTGGATGCGCAATGCACGAGGCCAGGCCCTACGCTGACCTCGCCCTCCCCAAATGCAGGCGGCTGAGCTGGTGACTTTTGTAAGCCATGCGGCTTTAAACATTTTCTGTTCCTGCCAGCTAGGCCCTTGTTTGTGACAGGAATCTAAGAAAACTGCTAGAGGAAGCAGACAGACTCTGAAGGCACTTGTAGATAAGAACCCCAAAGCTCCTCCCGTGTGAGAGCGGAGGCCTTCGAGTCAGGCCAACAAGTGCACGTCTACTGCTTCTGAGGAATCTCATGCTCTCCTACTGAGCTGACAACCTACGACCTAAATATCCATCTGCCTGGGCAGGGGCACGTGCGGCGGGGAGGAAGGGGCCTGGCCCGTGCGGGTCCCAGGGGGTGCTTCAGGGCAGCAAAGGAGGCGACAGTGTCAAAATATCCATGCTGGGGAGCTCCCTGGCTTTGATTGCAGTGGGCACTGGTTCAATCCCTGGTCAGGAAAGTTAAGATTCCAAAGGCCACACAGCACAGCCAAAAAATCCAAAAAACTTCACGCTCACATTGATTTCAAAAATCACCCACAGGTGCCCACAAACAGGGAGGCTGCGACAAGCATCACCTGAGGAAGACCCAGGAGCATCCTCTGCGGGGACAAAGTGCACCTCAGTCTCAGCCTGGCTCTGAATGATGAACACGTCCCTTTCAGCTAACATTGCCCCATCCCAGCACTGTCCGCGTTCCTCTGGGGAAAATCTACGGCACACTGCTGTGAGAGACCTTCTGTGATTGAAAGTCAGACCTACGTTGCAAAACATGTTCTGGGATTTTCAGAAAACGCAACCTAGGCATATAAACCTAGAAATCCCCTCAAGAGCGGCCTGGGTCGTTTCCTGCCTTTGTGTTTTTATGGTTTTTCTCCAAAGCCTGACTTTTAACTTCATGGGAAGGAGCCTGAGAGAAACCTGCACCCTCCATTGCCCTCACCTGGTTTGAAAAGCTCTCGAAAGCACCAAACTCCCACTCCCTGACCCTCCTCTCCGTCTTATCTCAGCCCTCTTTCTCACTGCGGACCGTGACCACAATTACACCAAACCTCTATTTTCTCTATGCTGGTTTCTCCTTACAACTCTCACTGAATTTTCTTTTTCCAGAGGCTTTGTCCCTTAAAGGGAACCTGTGCACTCTCCTGGCAGGGTGGGGGTGAGGAGGTTGCTGTGAGACTTGAAAAACCAAACTCAGAACTGCAGTTTGTAAAACAAGTACCCCCACCAGGAAGACATGGAGCTGGCCCCAGGCCACACGAGCTTCGCGTCTGCAGGAGCCCTGGTTTGGGTGCTTCCTGGTCACACAGCTCAAGATGCTGAACCCAAAGTGTGCATCGTGGCTGTTACACTTTAAGATTCGTCTGCCAGCGTGGGGGCCAAGGGCGCCCCGCAGCCCCCTGGGGACCTTGATGGGCTGTGAGAGTGGGGCCAGGCAGAACCTGATGTGGCAGCTGAAACTCAAGACACTGGGAGGGCCGTCCCAGCCAAGCTGCGCCCTGCCAGCCCAGGGGCCAGCTTCGCGGGGTGAACAGCAGGTCACCCAGCACCATGGGCCTGAGGGCAACAGTCACAGCAAGACTCCGTGGTCTCCCGGACCCCTCTCCACTCAAAGATCCCTGCCACTCACATGGGACTGGAAGCTGGAAGGGGTGTACCCTCCCCCACGAGAGAGTCAGACCACGGCCAAGGGCGTGGCCAGGGCAGCTCGGGCCAGTCTCACGGGCTGGGGGGGAGGCGTGGCCCTAGAGGAGGTTCCGTACGGAACCCCCCTTCTCTGCGCCCCTCCCTGTCTCTGACAACACAGACGAGGCGGCTGGGGGCGGGGGCTAGAGCCGGCCCTCCAGTCCATGCTCACTCACAGGAGAGGGGGACCCGCGCCCCAGTCAGTCTGCAGGAAGCATGGGACACAGTGAAACACTAGGAAACACTAGGAAAACACACTTGGGGCGGGAATCTCCTCGGCTTCAAAAAATGGGGAAAAGTCAAGCTTTCGCGATCTGTCAAACTGAACCCACAGCTGCAACCACTTACTCAGCAGCAGCCCAGCAGCCCCGCGTCTGAGCCACCCACAGGCAGCCGGCGCTTGGTTCTGTTTCGGGGGCGACGGGCACAAACCCCCAGCGGCTGGAGATAACGGAAGGCGCTGAACAGAGAACAGGAGTAAATACAGAAGCTGAAAGGGAAAAGGTGGTGGGAGACGCACGGGCAGCCGTTAATTGCTCTGGAAGGCTGGAGGAAGGAAGCGCGTATCAGCACACGAGAATAATACCCGGATTCGGAGCAAGCGGAGATGGGATTAAAGAAAGGACATGCACAGTGCTTTCTCAAACAAGACCAAGGTTTTTACTGGGAAGAGAGTTATTGAAAAGAAAACACCACGCCTGGCCGGCCCCTCCCCATGGGGGGCGGGGCATCGCGGATTCCTGCAGGACCTTCCCAGCGGGCCCATCTCCGCCAGGTAGGAGGCGGCCCCGCTGGGGTTTCCTAAAACACCACCAGCCCAGCGCTTTCACATCCCTCTCAGACGCGTTCCTACAAGGAGCGGGACTGTGTACCCTCCCGCACCGCCCAGCTCCAGGGGCCAAAGGGCGCGCACCGGCGTCTGGGGGGAGGGCAGGGAAGGTCAGGCCTTCCCCAGCAGCTGGGACACGAGGGCCCCAGAAGAGAAAGGGAGGCCGGGCGGCTAAGGGCGCCCCTCTCCACCGCCTGGAGGCACTACCTGTGCTATCACGGGCTCCATCACTCTCTTTTGACTGGGGAATAAGCCCGTTTCTTCTCAGGGAACAGGCAGTAACTCCGTGTTTGCGCAACTGGTGTCGTTCACAGTTAGATTTGGTGGAAAAGAAGGCACCGCATTTTTGACAAGGGAAGGGTTTCTGACCTGAATCAGGGGAAAAAAAATACATATTTACCTGGCTTTCTACTGCGGCGAAAAAGGAAAGTCTGCTTCCGCTTCCTTCTCCGGGGATCACTGGCATTGGTTCCCACCCCCCACCCCTTTCAAGAAAATAAAACACATTAAGAAGTATACAGGGAGAACATCAATAACGCAAACGATCATCTTCCCTCATCCTGAGTGGGATAAGTTATTTGTCTTTAAAATACTGAAAGTTAACAATGAAAGCAAGACACATATCTTTAAAATAAGTCTCATAATTAAAAAAAAAAATCTTACAAGATAACAAGAACAGAGGTGAGAGGAGGGACGTGTGCAGGACACCGCTTGTGCCCAGAACAACGAGGATGCCCATGTGGCATCCCCAGCCTGGCAGCACTGCAGATGCGGGGACCCAACGGAATGGAGAGCCATCTTGAACCCCGGGGGGGTCTCCGGGGGTCTGACCGCCCACCTGGACAGGAAGAGCTGAGTCCTCGAATTCCCAGGGTGCCTCCCGTCCGACCTCTGCTCAAGGCTCCTGTGGCTCTAGCCAGCGAGATGGGGGAGGTTCTGCCCCCTCGCTTTACACTTGTGCCAGTGGGAGATGAGGGGCCAGCAGGGCCGAGTCTCCCCAGAGACCATGTGCTCCACCCAGTACCCCGACTGTGAAGAAGCTGGGTCACCGAGCGCCCCCCAACCTGCCTGTCATGGCTGCTATCTGCTGTGACCAGCACCCCCTCCTTCCATTAGGAGCACTTCTGCAGGCTCCATGGCACCTGATCCTGCGCCTGCAAGGATAGACGCGCGGCAGAGACAGGGCAGAGCGTGAAGACAAAGAGAAGGAAAGAGGACGGGGGCCGGGGAAGGGAGGGGGTGGGCTTCAGGGCACGGGACTGTGCTACCGTCTACTGCCTCAATGGTGTCCTCTGCTTTCCCCAGCTGCCATGTTCCAAGATCTCAGCTTCTGAGGTCACTGGGAAAAGGCTTTGTGTAGCAACAAACAGGACTCACTGCTGTCTCATGACCCCAGGGCTGCCCTGGTCAGACAAACAGAAAGATAGATACACACACACACACACACACACACACATGCACACACCCTGGTCAGACAAACAGAAAGATAGATACACACACACACACACACACACACACATGCACACACCCTGGTCAGACAAACAGAAAGATAGATACACACACACACACACACACCCCGGTCAGACAAACAGAAAGATACACACACACACACACACACACACACACACACCTGCAAGACACAGCAAGCAGGCAGGCAGGCAGCACTGCTCCCGTGACCCGTCGATGGGGGCTGGCCTTCCATTTAGATTCCAAGGCGCATCACCAGGCCCCTGGGGAATGGACAACATGGGCCTGGCGCCCGGGATTCCCAGGACGGGAAGGACTCGTACCACCCGAATCCACACACCCCAAGTTTGAGCATCAGCTGTAACCAAAGAAAGGGACGTCCACTCCCTTCTGAGAGATGGTTCCAGACAGCTGATAGAGGTTTTTAAACACAGATGTCTAGAACCATCAGAGACAATGCAGTTAGAAGGACGGGTAAGTGGAATCAGAAACCAGTCGTGTGCGGGGCATCCCTGGGAGTCTGGCAGTAAAGAATCTGCCTGCCAGTGCAGGAGACCGGGGTTTGATCCCCGGTCCGGGAAGGTCCCACACACTGCTGAGCAACGAGGCCCGTGGGCCACAACCACTGGGCCTGTGCTCTGGAGTCCAGGAGCCACCCCTACCGGGCCCACACGCCTCGATCCTGCACTCTGCAACGAGAGAAGCCAGCACAGTAAGAAGCCAGTGCATGGCAACCAGAGAGCAGCCCCACTCGCTGCGACTGGAGGAAAGCTCGTGCACAGCAATGAAGACCCAGCACAGCCGAAAACTAAAAAAAAAAATTCACTCTAAGGAGCTCCACGTGGGCCCCAGAGGGTGAACAGGAGAACCCATGCTTCACATACCTCGCAGGTGTTTTCTGCTAAATTTATAAAAATGCCCATGTTAAAAAAAAAAAAAAGTCATGCTTTTTGTGTGAAGACAAGTTGTAAAGCATTTTAACGTTTTCTGTGTGTGTGTGTATACCCTTCAAATTATTTCTTTTCACTAAATGTCGAACCTAATGTTTAATTATTATTCAGGTTCTGTTGTAAGGAAGAAGAAAATATTTTCCCTTTAACATTTCATTCTCCAGAGGCAACAATCACAGTCTGTCTGAGTCAGGCCAGTGTGAAAACAAGAGAACCAGGCCCGAGAAGAAAACAAGTCAGAAGCTGTGAACTGTGATCTGGTTCTTGATTTCAAACAGAGCGGCTGGCTTCTTGCTTCTCCCTGCTATATGAGGTACTCTACAACCTCCACACTGGGAAACGCTTCACTTTTAGAGCCGGTTTCAAGAGCCAGGTGGATGTCTCATGATGAGGAAGATTCATGCTAAGGTTAGGTTTAGAAACCAACTCAATGACCTAGAAGTATCATATCCAATCAGGAAGATTCCCAAAGTGACAACCAACAGGAGTCTTTAAAAGTCCCCCTTTCACTGCATAAGTCACACATTTTAAATAGCAGCGTGCCCTCCAGACTGCATGGACAGAGGAAAACAAGAACCCTTCTAGTATTCTATCGTCACAGTCTTCAGAAAAGCCTTGCTGACTGGTGATCCGTATGGAAAGTATCCAATGATTTTACCCATTTGGTAACAGCCACAGGAGACTGCATTAGCAGGGGTATTTCTAAATGCACCTGTAACTACCTTCGCAGGTACCTTTGCACCAAAGACCTATGACATCCTTCAACCCACACCCGTGGTGTCGAAACAGTCAAGAAATGAAGAAAGAAATTTTACAAGAGGCCCATGGCGCTGTCTGGCAGGCAGGGCAGGAGGGAATGAAGGGTGAATGCCCAGAGTAAGTGTGATGACCTGGCTTCGCCCCCTCAGCCAGCTCACCATTGCTCTCCTGCCCCCCAGGTCTCTTTCTTTTAGGATCGGGCCGAGATGACGCAGGGCTGGCCAGGAAGGCGCTCTCAGAGCTGCCGCCTAAGAAAGTGAAAAGCAGTCAAATCCCAGCGAGGTTGGGAGCACTGTCCACAGAGGTGTGCATCCCACTGGGAGCACTCTCCACAGAGAGGTGTGCATCCCACTGGGAGCGCTCTCCACACTGAGGCATTTTATCCCACTGGGAGCGCTCTCCACACTGAGGTGTGTCATCCCACTGGGAGCGCTCTCCACACAGAGATGTGTCATCCCACTGGGAGCGCTCTCCACACTGAGGCGTTTTATCCCACTGGGAGCGCTCTCCACACTGAGGTGTGCATCCCACTGGGAGCGCTCTCCACACTGAGGTATGCATCCCACAGACTCCAGCCCCCACGTGGGTGCTGGTGAACAGAGGGTGGGAGAGGTAGGTTGGATCCAGGCTGGCAAGAAAGATCAGTGAGACCAACCACAAGAAAGTGGGTAAGGCCAGGGACTAGGACCGGCAGAGCTGGAGGCACCTCAGCCCTCACAGGGTCCTGATGCTCCATTTCACCAGGAGGAAGTCGGGTGGGGCTGAAATGAACCATTTTCTGGCACTGTCTCTTCTACCTGTAGCCTGAAAACACATGGGATGCTCACGAGGAGGAAAGGCGGAAACCAGTGAGCCATCTTCTGAAGAGGCAGCACTGATCAGGCTGAGGAGGAAGGAACCAGGGTGCCCCCCCCCACCTAGACACCTTGGGCCAGCAGAGGAGCGGAAGGAGGAAGGAGCTGGGAGTGGAGACCGTGCTAGGACATGAAGTGCGCTAGCCACGCCAGCTTCCTCCCGAGACTCGGTTCCTAGAGCCTGAGTCACGCAGAGAAAGGGCTGAGACCACAGGCCCCTTGCCTGAGCAACAGCGAGTCCCCCGCTGGACACTCACTCTCTGGGCTGCTTAATGCTGCCTGTTTAGGTGGCGGGATGCCCTGGGAACATGTCTGGGAGACCCTGTAGAGATGCTGGAATCCCCTGTTCCTGCTGCTGAGCACTCTCTAAAATCACTAAGCAGCTTGATGCAGAGACTGCCTCTGGAAGCCGAGGCCGTGCAACAGCAGAGGAGGGTAAGTGAGCCCGCGGGGCGCCAGCCTCCACCCGGGCCGAAGTGTGTGGCTAACACCAGCCTGTCAGCAGCTCGGGGTCCACAGCCGTGCCGCACCTTGTCTCAAGCCACCTCCCCATCCTGCATGTTGGAAAAGGTCAGGACACACACGCACCCCACATCCTCAGGCAGGGCCGGGCGGCGGCAGGGGACCTGGCCAGGCTCCCAACCCAGGACCACCACTGAACACCTGCGGGCAAATCACTCAACCTGCCCTGAGCCTCGCTCTCCTTGGGGCAAGATGGGGAAAGCATGGCCCTCATGGCCCATCACCAAGACCAGCTCTTGCCCGCGATGCCCACGGCAAGAACACAGGGAAGACAGATGGGGACAGACTCCCGGGGAGCGCAGTGACTGAGCAGGGAAAACAAGGTCACGCCTGCCCCCACCCGCCCCGTCTCCCGCTTCCCTATTCCCCACTCCGTGCCCACACCTCCAAATTTTAAACCAAGAGGACGCCTGGGCGCTCGAAGGAAACTCCTACCAGACGCCTGCAGAAACTTGGCACAAGTCTGGAGAGGAAGTGCCGGCCACGTGGTCCTCTCAGGGAGACCGTGGGCTTGCCGGGAAGAGAACAGAACATCCAACAGTCGGGGGGACCCGCCGGGCCCGGGGCGCCCGGGGGAGGAATGGTGGGCAGGCAGTGCCAGCTCATCAGACCCGACCAGCTGGCTGCTGAGAAGTTGGAAGAGTGTTCACTTCTCAGAGACCGTGCAGGTGACAGGCGGGCATTACCCTAACAGGGCGGCAGGAGAGACTGCCGTGGGGGTGCCCTCTAAGAAAGGCTTTCCTCCTGAAGCCCCCCGGGGCCCTCGTCACCCACAACGGCTCTGCCACCCACTCCCTGTGTCCCCCTTCAGCCTACCGCAAACAGTGCATGGGAGACGCATACACTAAAAATTATTTGTTGCTTATTTGAACTCCAAGACTTAACTGGTATCCTGTATTTTATCAGGCAGTTCTGTACCATACAACTCTTTTGTGTTTCAGGTCCAATCAATTAATATTTGTGTGGTCATCTCCAAAAGGTTAAGAATCTCACCCAAACTGTCCTTAGTTCAAAGATATAAATCCTGTTTGAATCCTCAGTGACTCAGAATTAAGATGGGAGTTGCATGGTCACCTGACCACTAACCACCTGATGTCAAATTATTTAAAGTGTATTTCTTATCTTAAACTTCTCTTTAAAAACCAATATATGAAAACATTTGAAAAATACTCTGGGGCTATCTATTTGACAACTTAAACCTGTTACTTAGAAGAATATATTCGCATATTTCTCTGGAACAATCTACTTTAGTACAAATAAAAAGTTTTTTAAATTCTAAAACTAGTCTGTCACTGATGATCACGATAATCAGAAGGTGTGATCGCCTCAGTGAACTGAAAAGTGGCTGCACAATCTGCAATATTTTCCTTTAGAATACACAACAATCAAAAGAACGTCACAGAATGTTTGCAGGTTTTTTTTTTTTTATGTTTGCAGTTTTAAAAGTTGCCTTGAGGATGCAAATTCTTCTGTCAAAGTCCCCATGCCCCTAGCTGCCTCCTCCCAACTGAGGGACAAGATGGCCCAGGACCACCGCACCTGAAAACACCCCAACACCTCCCTTTGCCAGCCGCCCTTGGAGGACCAGACAACTGAGACAGGCCATTCTGGTTACAGAATCTTGGGCCATCAGACAAGCCCCCCCAACCCCTGGGTCTGAAGAGGAGGACAAGCTGGGAATTGGGGTGGGGAGGAGGGCTGCCAGGGCGCCCCCCCCCCCCCCCCCCCCNTCCGCCAGCCCTCTTACCAGTGTGCGTGAGCATGTGCCTCTGCAGGGAGCTGGCCCAGGGGAAGACCCGCGAGCAGTGCGGGCAGTTGATCTTCTGCAGGCAGTTGGCGTACGAGTTGCGCTTCGCCCTCAGCAGCCTGTCCTCGGGCGGGCTGCCCTGCTCCCCGTCGCTGGGCCCGTTGTGATCTGTGGGGGCTGCGGCCACCTCGTCCTGGGCATCATCCTCCGCACTCTGCAGAAACGGGCTGAACTTGTTGGTGTCCGTGGTGGCCAGCATCTTCTCGATGCTGGCAAACTCCCCGCTGGAGTCTAGGTCCACCCCGCCGCTGCTGCGTGCCCGGCTCCGTGTCCCCCTCTTCCGGCCCCTCTTCTTCGACAAGCCGGCTGGTCCCTGCTCAGTCGGCGAGGCTGCCTCTGGGCTGTTGGTGGAGGGGGATGAGTCACTGGATTCTTTTGGGCTGGTGACGTCGGTGGTGGCTTTGGGGAGGGCACCCCCGACACTGTCTGAGGCCGCGGCAGTACTGCCGGTTCCCGTCGGCCCTGCGTCGGCCACCTTGGTCTTCAGCAAGGTGGGGGCCGAGGACACGGATGAGATGATCTGGGCAATGGAGGCCAGCGGGGGCAGTTCGTCCGTCACGGGGGGCTTTGGCAAGAGCAGGGGGGGCTTGGGGCGCAGTGGCCGCAGCAAGGCTGGGCTGCCGAGGGTGGAGGTGCCCAAGAGTGGAGAGCTGTTGACCAGGGCTGAGGAGTAGAGGGGCACGGCGAGTTGAACGGGGCCCTGCAGGGGCAGCGCCGCGGCCTCCAGAGGGCTGGCTGCCGAGGATGCTGCGGCCGGGACCCCTGGCTTCTCCAGGGGCCCGCTGGCGCCCAAGGTCGACGGCAGCGCGGGGCAGGCCGGTGGGCCAGGGGAGGCCTGCTCGCTGCTCCCGGGTTCCTGCTCAGGCTTCTTGGCCTCCCCAGGAGCAGCTGCGTCCTTGTCTCCTCTCCGGAAGTTCTTGGGGATGGACAGGTCGATGGGCTCCATGGAGCAGTCATAGGGGGCAGAGGGGCTCAGGAAGGCAGCCGCGTTCTCCTGCTTCACCTGGATCAGGGCCAGGCCCTTCTGGGAGAAGTCCAGGGGCTCGTTGAATTCTGCGGCAAAGTTGCTGGCTGGCTCCACTTTGACGGCAACGTGAGGGGGCAGAGGCTGTGCGGGGCCCGCGGGAAGAAAGCCATTCTGGGGCTCCAGGAAGGCGGCCAGGGGCTTGTGCTCGCCCTCGTCGCCGCGGCCCGGGGCCTCGGCGGGCGTGTCGGCGGGGCCCAGGCCGTCGGCCGCCAGGACGTAGCTCTCGATGTCGCGCTCGGGCACGTGCAGGTGCTGCTTGAGCACGTGGTGGATGCAGTTGCGCTTGGCTGAGAAGGCGGCGCTGCACTCCTTGCACTCAAAGGGCTTGCGGGTCTTGGGGCAGCCGCCCAGGCCGCGGCCGCAGTGCGCGCGCATGTGGATGCGGAGCGCGCGGTAGTGCTTCAGGTCCTCGCCGCACAGCCGGCACACGGTGTCCGGGGAGCAGAAGGCGTCCACCAGCTCGGCCGCGCTGCTCGTCACGTACTCGATGTTCTTCTCGATGTCCTTGCGCGTGGCCTTGAGGTGCTTCTTGCGCAGGTGCCGCTCGCAGTTCGCCTTGACCGTGAAGGGGTAGTGGCAGATCTTGCAGATGTAGGGCCGCTCACCGCTGTGCGTGCGCAGGTGGCGGATGAGCGCGGCCTTGTCGGCAGCGATGTAGTCGCAGATGTTGCACTGGTAGGGCGAGATGCCCAGGTGGGAGCGCACGTGCGCGCGCAGCACCCCGGAGAAGGCGAAGACCTGGTTGCAGAAGCGGCAGGGGTAGAGCACCTTGCGCATGGCCGGCGCCTTCTTGCCACCAGGGCCCGTCATGATAGCCTTGAGGTCCCCCTCTGTGATCTCCTGCTTGATCTTGGCCTCCACGCTCAGCGGCAGCAGCGCCTCCAGGAGGCTGTCCTGCTCCAGCTGCGTCTTCACCTCGGCCTGGCCAGGCAGCTCGAGGCGTGGTGGCTGTAGGAAGAGCTGTGCCCCCGACTTGGGCGGCAGCAGGTGGGTGCCGGGGGCCGCCTCCACCGTGCCCTTGAGGAGCTTCAGTGGTGGCGGGGGCAGGCTGGGGCTGACGCAGCCCGGGGAGGCCTGCTGGGTGTTGACCAGGGGCGGGGGCGTGGACGTGGCCACCACCGTGCGCGGAGCGGCCAGGGGCTTTGGTTTCAGAGGGGGCATGTGCTTGAAGACGGCCTGCAGCGGTGCGGCGGGCGCCTTGGCCAGCGGCGGGAGGCCGACCTGTGGTGGTGCGGCTGCTGCCATTTTCAGGATCTGCTGGATGTCCGCCAGCTCAATGGCTGGCTCCCCAGAGATGGGCTTTACCACGATGCTGCTGTCGGGCTGGATGATGAAGCCCTTCTGGAAGGGCTGTAGGGCCAGGTGCTTCATGCTGTCCGCGGCGGCTGGCAGGACGGCGAGTGCCCCGCCCAGGGCAGCGGCGTCAAAGGGGGCCAGGCTGAGCAGGCCGGCGCAGCCAGGCTCCTGAGGTAGCTGGCACCGCAGTGCCTGGAGCTGGATCGCCTGGTTGTCATCCGGCGGCGGCTCCTCAGCCGGTGTGGGCCGCACATCCTCCACGTGCTGCAGGCCCAGCACTGCCAGGAAGACCTTCTGGTCTGGGTCATCGCCTGGCAGGGCCCTGGCCTGCAGCCGGTCTGGGCCCTGGTCGGCAGCCACGTGCGTCTGCTTGTGCAGGGTGAGCGAGGAGAGCATGGGGAAGGCCTTGTCACACGTGTCGCAGATGAAGCGGTGCTGCTCACTGATGCACCTGCGTAGGTTCGTTTCACACCAGGCCTGCGGGGAAGCCAGGCAGAGAGTCAGAAACCACTCCCGGCTGCACAGCAGGCCTGGCCGGGCCCTTATCCCGGCACATGGGAGCCCACCCTCCCCTGCGCTAACACCCCCAGCCTGAGAAAGGAGCACCAGCGGATAAGCACCTTAGGAACCGCAGCTTCCTGATGAGGGAGGCAGTCCCCAGGGCCTCTGGGCAGAGCGGCAGGAAAGTACCGTGAAAGTACCGCCGCCACAGAGGCTGGGTGCTCTCTTTAAAAACGTGGTCCCTACAAACCTAACTGACGGTAACTCCCTGCCATCAGTGGAGAGTGGGCTTCCTCTGACTGTGGGCTGCGGGCACTGCCTGGGAAGGGCCTCAAGGGAGAATGGGGTGGGGGGTGGTGGCTGGGGCTACAGGAGCGCAGAGACATGGGTACACACGCGAATGTACGCATGTGTGTACATGTGGGTGTGTGCAAACGGACGTATGCACACGAGCATATATATACAGAATAAGACACTGAGCCTGGGGCTTCTGAAGAATTTCACTGTTGGTATCTTTTACCTCAATTCTTAAAAATTTGAAAGAAATGACTGCCAAAGTAGCTTTGGCAGGTGTTTTACAAGCAAAGAACAAATGCAGCTCAGGCTAACAATGACCCAGAACATTTGAATAGAAACTACAATGCCAGAGATATTTAGCTGTGATGTGGATGTTAAAGAACCACTGTTAACAATACAGATTCAATTCAGCTAGGGTTGCGAGGGGTAGACCGAGCCCAAAGGGCAGTGTTTTGAGGACAGCCTGCCTCGGGTGGGGAAGCTGGGTCCCGCCGCGGCTGACGGTGTACCTGAGAGATGCGGGGAAACTTCCGACAGGAGAAGTCGGTGAAACCCAGGTCGTGGAAGCCGGCGGGGATGGCGGGGTTGTTCTGGATGAAAGGCCGTCCCACCGCGTCCCTGGGGAGCTGCTTGTGGACCAGCGCGTTGTGGCGCAGCAGGCCACGGTGCGTGCGGAAGGTGACGCAGCAGACATCGCACCTGCCAGGAGAGGGCACAGGCCGTGAGGCGGCGGAGCTTCCGCCCGCTCACCGCGTGAGGCTTCCTCCTGCTTCATTTCAAGCAAGCAAAATAAAGAGGCTATGACGTCAAGAAGCCAACCAGCACCTGGTGAGGGACACTAAACTCCTTAAAAAAAAAATAAGGGATCCTACCGGCCCCCCAGCCTGTGCAGACGGCAGAGGTGTGAACAGGGCTGGGAACCTGTCTCGCCCCCAGCTCCATGGACTCTGATTATCAGAGATACTCGGAAGCCAGAAAACACACATTTCCACAGCAGCTGGAGCAGTCACACTACATCCCTGATGTGTCACTGGGGTAAACGTGGTCAAATTCTCCAGTGGAACTGGGAGCATGACAGTGACCATGTAGCCCAGTTCTGAGGCTCCCAAGGGCACCCCACAGGGGCGGCACACCACCTAACCTTCATCTTCCAGGGGAAAACACGGAGGCTCGAAAACCGCCGGCAACACGAGGGAGACCACACAGCCAGGAAGTAGCAAAGCCGAGTGCTAGCCCTGTTCACGTGCCCACCCTCCCCTGCCACCAAGCTGTCTCCCTGTCCCGAAAGGGCTCTTACAAACATGGTCCACCAAAAGAGGAAAGACTGTCACGCTCCACCTCAGAGACGACCCACACACCTGACCTGGCCTGGGCCACATGGATGCATCACAAATACCACTTCATAATATAATGGTGTCTCCATTTCCTCCACATTTCAGATCAGTCTCCTCAGTCTTCACTTGAGCCCAACCACCATGAGGACATCACCCACACCCTCCGGACCTGCACTGCATACAGATGCCACGAGAACCTCATTTAAACGGAACTGAAACATCCCCAGTCACAGGGGGTCCATCTCACAGGCTCAGCTGCATCAGGCAGTGTAGATCACAGGAAGTGCCCCCTGGACAGCACATCTTTCCAACCATGTACACATCCGCATGTGCTCCCACAGAAATTCCAGGCAGGTCCTTTTCCAGCCTTTCGAGAAGGAACCTGGGGCACAGAGGGGTACAGCAACCTGCCCGAGCTGACACTGCATACACCCGAAGGGAAACTCTTTTGCCTTTGAAATTCTTCTCTGCAAGCCAAAGATGACACCTCACCTGTGAGGTGGCTGAGCTTCACAGGTGGCACTGAGGCCAGCACCAAGTCTGTGCAGCTCCATTCTTGTGTCGGGCCGGGATGGCCCAGCTATTGTGGTCCTGTGTCCCCACCCCCCACCCTCTCTCTGTTGAGAGTCAGTGTTATCATTCCGTTAAATTTAGCACACTGGATTCCCATGAGCCATTCGAAACACAAGCCCGGCTTGAGGGGCCACTGCTTAAGCTCACCAACGGTGATAAAGGCTTGGGGGCAGTGACGGCCGCAGGGAGCCCAACACCTTTAGGTGTGGAAAGATCTCACAGCTGTGGCCGGTACTATGTAGCTTCCGGGCCCATGTCTCTGGGCCCTGATTCCTGCCACTGTTCAGATCCTCCTGCTCCCCACCACCAGCCCCGCCCCACCTCGTCAACCTTCCCCTCTGTCCTGTCTGGGCCCAGAGCAGGTGAAGTTCAAGGAACGGTCTGGAAGCTGGTCTGTGCCTTTTCTGATAGGTGAGGTTGAGAGGTAAGGAAGACAGGGAGCTGTCCGTAGCGGGCCCTTGGGCATCTCACCAGAGGTCTATGTTGGATCCCTCTTCCTAGTTAACCATTAGCACTGATGACATATATTTTGTGTCGAATATTTGCAGTGTTTACAATTAATCTTTACCAGCACCAGGACCTCACAACAAACATCTAAGCTCATGGCACCCTAGCAACCCAGCCAGTATGTGATCACCCCACTACACCGGAGGTCAAGGCCCCGTCCCCACTCACCAAGGGAAGACAGCAGGGTGTACTCCATCTGCCGGAGGCAGGCTCCTTGATCAAAGTCAGGTAAGGGGGTGGGGTGGGAACTCCAATTTAAAAAAATCATGCACATTAAATATTTTACTCAACCTAAACCATTCAGTTGACCCTTACTATCTGGCAGATTCTGTGTTTGTGAATTTGCCTCCTTGCTAAAATCTGCAAACCCACATCAGCAGTTGTGGCATGTTCTGGGACAGGGCGGGAGGAATCAGCCGCTCAACAGACATACACGTTCCCTGCTGGGCTTGGTCAAGGAGATGCTCCGCTCGCTCGTTTCAGCTCCGACTGTGAGCAAGTGTCCTTGTCGCTGTTTCTTTCCTGCCACTTTGCTAGCGTTTCAGCGCTTCTTCCTGATGACTTTGTTTAAAATGGTCACCACGGGCAGCACCACTCAGTGTCCCCAGGAGCTAGAAGCCCATGACGGGCTTTGCAGAGAAAAACACATGTGAGATGAGCTACAGTGCTGTCAGCTGTTTGAGTTCAATGGTGATGTGTTAATGGTATATATTAACAGAAATACACTTAATGAAACAAGTTTATGTATTGATTACTACATGAAAACATGAGCAGAGGCTTGCAGGAAACAAACCCCATGTTTCCTCCAGGAACGACAGTTCAGTGTTTGCTAACTTTGCGTTCCTGGAACCTTTACAGAACATACCTACTGCATGTCCTGTAAAGAGAGAGCCCACGGCTTGTTCCCTCACCTGTCTTTTCTGGGGGCCAAGATCTAGTTCCACTGAGTGAAGATCCATGTCCTTCTCACTGTGAGGCACTGTGATATGACATCTTTGCTTTCTGGCTTTAGATGATTTAAGGTAGAGCAAGAACTTAGATTTCTGCAAACCAAACTCAACCCGCACCTACTTCTCATGATCATTCCTCTCTCCTGTTCACAGGGGTCCCGTCCATCCTACATTTGACAGAAAAACAAACAACAAAACCTACCCAATCTGAATTATGTGCAAGTCTGCCCAACTTCTTTTTCATAGAGACTATTCTTTAAAAAAAAATCACTGGTTTGTAGAAAATGTAAACTACAGCAAATAATTACAAGCATTACTGGCACAAACCGGTTGGGGAGAGAGAATCCTGACTCTGAGCAGCCAGCATGTCAACTGCAGGTGAGCAGGTGTGCGTGGGCAGAGGGCTGCACTCTTGTTGGACTTTCAACCTTAGAGTTGAAAAGTTTTTAAGCATATGTCTCATTATCAGCTTGCTGTCTGAGAAATATGTGTGTGTGTTATGAATCTTTTTGTATTTATATACACACATGTATTTGCATGCACATGTACCAGGCATATTCAGTTCAGTTCAGTTGCTCAGTCGTGTCCAACTCTGTCTGACCCCATGAACCGCAGCATGCCAGGCCTCCCTGTCCATCACCAACTCCCAGAGTTTACTCAAACTCATGTCCGTTGAGTTGGTGATGCCATCCAGCCATCTCATCCTCTGTTGTCCCCTTCTCCTCCTGCCCTCAATTTTTCCTAGCATCAGGGTCTTTTCCAATGAGTCAGTTCTTTGCATCAAGTGGCCAAAGTATTGGAGTTTCAGCTTCAACATCAGTTCTTCCAATGAATATTCAGGACTGATTTCCTTTAGGATGGACTGGTTGGATCTCCTTGCAGTCCAAGGGACTCTCAAGAGTCTTCTTCAACACCACAGTTCAAAAGCATCAGTTCTTCAGTGCTCAACTGTCTTTATAGTCCAACTCTCACATCCGTACATGACTACTGGAAAAACCACAGCTTTGACTAGAAGGACCATTGTTGGCAAAGTAATCCCTCCGCTTTTTAATAGGTCTAGGTTGGTCATAGCTTTTCTTCCAAGGAATATTATAAAATATAAAAATAGAAAATTTTAGAGGATGAGCCAAAAAAAAAAATCCTATTACTTTGCTCTTGTGCCCCAGAGATCTTTTTGAGCACTCTCCTCTTTTGAGACCACGGCCTCAGTGTGGGGTATACTGGTATTCTGTATGAGGGGTCTTGCATGGGTCACCCAGGGGATGAGGGTACCTTGGAAGGTGGTGATGCGGATTTGCTGCCCCCTCTCGCAGCCGTGGATTTACCTAGGAATATCTGTTTCCTCCTCCATTCTCTTGCTGACCTTCAATCCCCTCCTGTTTTTGGCACGTAGGACCAAGTTCCACACATGGTAGGTGCTCAGCACACACGTGGCAGAAATACGCAGTGCCAGCCGTAGGCCATGTCCTCGAGGAAGGTGGGTGTGGGACGGTGGGGGACAGGCGTGAGACCCAGACGCTGGGACTGGGGAGCTGGAGTGGGTGGCCTTGGACACCTTGTCTCATCTGTGCCCCGGCTGCCTGCCGTGTAAAAGCTTCCCAGACACGGCTGAGATAAGAGTCCCTGGGGACCCAGGTCCCCAGGGCCACGGCGGACGGGCTGGCATCAGAGCCTGTGGAGGGGCCCGGGAATCCGCAGGTGGGCCAGCACACTCATGTCAGACAAGCTGGGAAATAAGTGACAGCGAGAAGTAAGCAAGAGGTCTGGAATCTCTGAGCAACTTTGGCTGCAGGCTGGGAGAGCTCTCTCCCTTGCCGCAGAGCTGGGTTCTTTCCCATCTGTACGTGGGGACCTTCAGAGTTACTGTAACTGTTAACAAAGATAACACAATGCTTGGAGAACTGCGAGGTATTAGACCAAACCTCACCATTACTTTACCATGCTAGGAACAAAAAACCATAACCTATTTCCTGGGAACTACCAGAAAACACAAAAATAAAGAAAACATGGAATTTTAGTTTCAAAGGGATGCCCTGTCCTGTTGTGCTCTTGAGAAACTCACAGAACAGCAGAGGGTCTCCCCGCCACTGGTGCACCTGGGGATGCCCTGGGGGAAATGGGTGTCCTTTCCAGTCCCCGCCCCGTGCCTTCTGCCTCCTTCCTCACCAGCCCTCTGCCACACTTCACTCTGGAGCCACAGCCCCAACTCAGAGCCTCCTCAGGATGTGCAACGAGCCCTCTGTCCACCACGTCACACCTGTTTCCACAGGAGTTCAACCAAGGTGCTCCTGTTTCACTGCTGATATGACACAAACTGTCATCTCACAAACAAGCA